GGCCAGAGGCGGACCCCCCAGCTCCGCCCCCCGTCTTTGGTAAGTGGGGTTCACCCCTCTCAGCGGGCTGGGGTGCACTGAGGATGAGAGCCCCAGGTCTGCATCTCAACCAGGGACCTGCACGGCTAAGAACCAAGAAAGTGCATGGGCGAGGGAGGGTAGGGCTAGAAAAGGGATGAGAAGGAAAAATTAAAATAACTTCCTACTACTTGTGCCTGCTTAAATAAAGTGTTGACTTCTCCCCCTCCCTGAACCAACCCCTTCTTGGGAAGTCATTGCTCCAAAGAGAGCAGCCACAGCTTTGCCCCCAACGTGGATGCACAAGGATGCTCACATCCCTGCAAGGTACAGCAACAACCAGAGTACAGCAACACCCAGAGCTCAGAGGAGCCCCCACAGACCCCATGGCTCAGCACCAGGGGCTGGGGGAGCCCAGAGGAGCCCCCACCCCCCACAGACCCCATGGCTCATCCCCAGCACCAGGGGCCGGGGGAGCCCAGACCCCCCTGTGCATTGAGCCCTGGGTTAGGCCAGACCGAACACAGGGGCTCTGACTCCAGGTGCAGAGTAATAACTAACACCACTTTAATGCAATACTGCTGCAGAGCCTGAAAATCCAAGGGGAAAACCAACAAAAAAAAGGAACCCTTTATGGTCTATGTACATTACATCCATTTACAGTTGGCCAGTACTGTGTACAACATATAAATACATGATCAAACAGATGCATAGAGGATACTTACAGGAGCCAAATAATTCACTTTATACATCCAAGGATGAAAATATATAAAAAAAAAAACCCAAAAGGAAAGGAAGAAACACTGCTTTCAATGCCGGGTGACGGTCACACAGACGCACAGCCCATCGGGTGGTGTCCTCGTGGCCGGGCTGCAGCGGCCACGCACGCAGCCCCCAGCCCAGAACCTCCTGCAGAGCAGCACAGGGCGCTCGCTCGGCACCCATTGCTTTTCTTTCCTCCTCCTGCATCCTCCTGCAGGCTCCATCCCACGCGTGGTCGCTGCACCCAGCTCCGCAGCCCCTGCCCGGTGCTTTACTGGGCACCACGTCCACCGTAGCATCCAGAAGCGTCCCTGCAGAGCAGCTCTGTGCTCACACCGTGTCCAGCCACGCGTCCCATACAGACTGGGAATGGGGATGGCAGAAGGGAGAGTGGAAGACTGTAGGGCCTCACCTAGCGCAGCCCTGAAGTAGAAAACCCCCTGCTCCAGTTCCTTCGGGTGGGAAGATTTCCTCGAGGAGGGTCCGCGCACGGCCACAAACTGGTGGGTGTTCCCAGGGCGGCACGAAGCAGCAGAGCGGCTCCGGCGGGGCACGGCCCACAGAGGTCGGGTGTAACCGGGAGCAAGAACAGGTTTTGCACTGGAGATCGGAGTGGGAAGGCAAAGTCAACTTTTTTTTTTTCCTCACCAAAACAAGGTGTAACAGCATTTCTACTATAAACAAGAGTAGTATTTTGTGTACAGGCGGGTTTGGGATCGGCCGTTCTCAAAACAACACGCACCGAACGTCCAGTCTGTCCCGGGGCCATCGTTTATTATCTCACCACAAGGCACAAGACGCAGAGCTTAGAGGGTCCGATACAGTCGTCGTGGCAGAACGCCCCGCAGCCCTTGCACATGATCATGGCTTTGAGGCTGCACGAGCACTTGAAGGCGATCTCCTCAACGCTGCTGCTGTCGGCAAACATCTGCACGGACAGGGCCGCGTTGTGGCTCGCTTTGTGGCCGAGCTGCACCACGCTCCTGGGGAAAGCCGGAGCGTTGGACGAATAATTAAAGCCGGTGGGATTCAGCTGCAGCTTAGAAAGCTTCCCGTAAAACGCCTGCTTGATATTGAGCTGCGAGGGAATGGAAGAAGGCTCCAAGGGCTGACCGTGCCCTTTCCCCGCTTCCCTGGAAAACCTGAAGAAAGGCAAGTCCACGACCAGCGGAGCGCTTTGCTCGGCCGCCTCCGCGGGGTTTTGCGCCGTGTCCTCCCGGTTCTCGGCGTTGCTCTTGGCCGGGCTGCCGCATCCCCCCGCGTCCTCGCTCTTCAGCCCCGCCAGCGCGTCCCCGTGCGGCTTGGCCGTCCAGCCCTCCCTGGCGGCCGGCGCATGGCTCTTGCTCTGAGCGCTCTGCTTGCGGGGGGACGCGGTTCCTACGGCTGAAGCGGGATCCGAGGCCCTGAAGTGATGCAGTCTGACAGCGGGGTTGCCAGGAAAAGCAGAACCAAAGAGTTTCCTGCCTTGAACTCCAACGTAATTTTTACTGCCTGATGCGCCTCCCGGCTGGTTTGGACCCAGAGAAGTTACAGGTGGAGACAAAAACCGAGGCTCCGTGGAGGCATTCAACTTCTCCGGACTTTTATTTGCGGTGACACTCGTCAGTGGGTTGTGCTGCGGCACCTGATGGCCCTTGGACAACTCCTTTTGCTCCTCAAAGCTACAGGAAGAAAATGTCCTTTCCCAAGGGGCTGCATCCTCAGGCTTCTGAGAGGCACTTCCCACGTCCACCACTTGGTCCTGGCAGCTCAGAGCTGAGCCAGCTCTGGGGTGCGTGTCTGGAACGGAGCGATCCTCCGCATCCTCTGCTCCAGGCGGCGCCGCTCCCGCTCCGCGCTTCCGTTCCTGGGCATCTACAGAAGATCTCACCGAGTGGAAGTCATCGCTGCTGCTTGGGGCGCTCCTCTTTGCTCCTATCTCTGGAGAAGGCTCTTTGCCGAAATAGCAACTGCCACCTCTCTCCATCTGCAGGGAGAGGCTTTCTGGCTGCTTGTCCAGGGGTGGCTGTGTAACTTCCAGCTTGATGCTGGGGTGGGATGCTGGGAGAACCTCCTCCAGCGGAAGGCTCCCCTTGAGCAGCTGCATCACCAAGGGGTTGTTGGTTTCCACAGAGGACACGGGGCGAGCAGAACCCAGCGCCCGCTCGGGCTTCTGGGGCGGCGGTGCCCGCGGTGCCCACCTCTGCGATGGGGGTGCAGGGAAGTCCACGACACAGGCACGGCCGCCTGCTTCCACCGGTGACTTTGGTCTAACCCTGCAGCTCTCAGCGCTGCCGTGACAGGAGGAGCCCTTCCCAGCCACCGCCCTGCAACACGGATCCACATCTGTGCTCTCATCGGCCACGTCCCCTTCGAAGTCTGAAGCCGTGTCTGTGGTTTCACTGTGTGTGCTCTGCACCTCATCATCTCCGTCTGTCTTGGCCTCTTGAGTCTCTCTCAGTGGCTGATGTGCATTTTGTGGCTCTGTTCTTGGGCACTGCTCCCTCAGCTGCAGCAGCACATCAGGGCTACCTGTCCTGTCCTGAGAAACAAAGTCATCATGGAAGGAGGGTTTCACCTCTGACTCCTCGTTCTCTTCCTCATTACTGAGTTTGCCATCGCTCTCTTCCTCTGCCTGCAGGAGCGAGGAGTTACACAGCACAGGGGCTGCTTTCTCTGCTCCAGCAGTCGCTGTTTTGGAGTTACCGCTATCAGCAACACATTTTTCCACAACCGTTTCAGAGCCATTCAATCTAAATCTAGACACGGTTTCTGGCTCAGGGCTCTCTGTACCACCCGATGGTAACGCTGGCAGAGGAGCAGGAGAGCTGGAGGCCTTTTCCTTTGCCCCAGAAGGATAACCCAGCTGCATGGTGGGAGCACCAACATCTCCAAGCCCTGACAGCACCTGATCCCCCGCAGGATGGAGCGCAGCTCCCTGCACCCGACAACACGACAGATCGCTCGCTGCAGGAACCGCGCGTTTCGGCTTGGTACTCTGCCTCTCCTGTGACGGCATCTCGGTCCTTGGGTCACAGAGGAGCTGCTCAGGGCTCTGCTCCTGCCTCTCAGAAGCTGCACGGTCTAAGGGCGACCCAGTCAAAGCAGCACAGGGCGGCTTTTGAGGAGAACCATCAGCAGGGCGAGCTCCCCCTGCGCCTGCGGTGCGCTGCACGGCATCACCCCCCTCGCTCTTAGAGGGAAAGGGGTCTTGTCTCGCAGAGAGGAAGGAACTGGCGCTCCCCTCCTGAGCAGCCCCCTCGGCGCTCGCCCGCTCTCCGTTCAGACGGACAGGCGGCAGTAATTGTGCTCGTTGTAGATCTGACGAACGCTTTCCGTGAGCTCTCCTTGATCTCCTGTGCTCTGCGCGGCCGCCGGATTCTCCTCCGCCTCCTCCTTCGTCAGCGCCTCTCCCTCCGCCCGGGCCGCCCCCGCCTCCGATGGCGGCTGTGGCAGCTTCTCGCTGGGCTCGGGCTTGCAGAGCGCGGGCTTTGATGTCTGCGAGTGTCCTGGCCCCGGTCCTGCCCCGGCCGGAGGGCTCCGTGTTGGGGATGATCCTGGGGCATATCTGGTAAGCGGGCTGACCCTTAACCACCCAGGGTGGTTTAATACGTGAAAGTTGAATCTGAAAGAGAGGGAGAAGCAGTCAGTTCTAGACCTCGGCCCTTCGCAGACACTGAAATGCATTTTCATTCACAAGAATACAACGAAAGTCTAAAAATTCCAACTTAAACACTAATTTGTAGCCTGCTCCCCATTACCTCTGCTTATGCTCTGTCATACAGTACGTAAAGCTCACTTAATATTAACGTGATTTTACCAGAGCCAGCAGACAAATACGAAATAAGCGATCTGCATTCAGAGCCTCAGAAATCAAAACCATCTCCTTCACGTCAGGAGGACCACCCTGAAGGCAGCAAGATGGACACCTCCAGTGAAAATGAGAAAAATCAGGAGGAATACAGAGATTCTGCCCAAAAGGAAAGGAACGAGGAACCTCACAGGATCAAGAGCAGGGTTTGGAGGTCTCTTGCAACAAGTCAGCCAGTGTCAGGAAAAGCGACTCCTGCATGCACAGAAACCCGCACTAACGAAATCAAGGTTACCCCGGCTCCTGTGCAGAGACCTTGGAAGGAATTTCCACTCTTTGCCTGTCTAAAGAAGACAGCAAACCGTGGTGTGCAGAGGTGCTCAGCCAGCTCTGCCAAGGAATCCCTGCCACCTCTTCAGAGGACAACGCTTGACATCTTAACAATGTTTTGATGCTACTGAGCGTGGCAGCCCTGAGACACCGCGCAGCTACAATTGTCTTTCCTACCCGGATGGGTGGGACTTTTGGCTCCTCTTTAGTAGGCTGTGGCTTTTCTGGGTGAACACTTTCAATTGTGTTACGAAAGGACTGACGATCTTCAAGCCGGGGCTTCTTTTCGGGGAAGGACGCGGAGGCAGCCTCCTCAAAGCATTTCCTCTTCTGGTCCTTGGGCTCCCGGGCAGAGTTCTCCTGGGGCAAACTGGGAATTCTGCTCGCAGCTGCCACCGGATCCTCCGATTTACTGTGGAATTTGGAAGTCTCTGGGGTGAGGTGCAATTCTGAGCTCTCTGGCTTCAGTCCTGCGGCCGAAGGGCTCGTCAGGTCGTCTTGCTTCAGGTCTGCCTCGGGCTTTGTCTCTTTATGAAGGGAGGAATCCGCTCCGGCAGAAGCGGCCTCTTTGGCAGCCTCCGTCTGCTCCGGTTCGCGCAGTTTGTACAGGCTCCTCCTGGCTCTGCAGCGCAGGTCAGCCCGGGAGCGCTTCTTGAAGCGCCCGTCTCTCTGCCGTGTGGAGGGACCACGTGGCAGCCTCGCTTCTCCTTTGACAGACGCTCCCGTCCTGTTCTCGGCGTTTTCCTGCACCGAGTTCTGCTCCTGGGATTCCTCTTGGGTCAAGCCCAACCTAGGAGGCAAACAGAAAACCTGGCTAAAAGCTAAAGCCCATCCTCATTTAACATCTTTTAGATTACAAAGCAGAGACTCATGCAAGCCTCGCTAAGTCAGTCTGCAATGGGATAACCTATACATTTCCTATCCCACGTTACTATCGTGGGAAACGAGCAAAATAAGAGATTTGTGATGGAAAATGAGTAATATTAACTTGTCTTGGAGACAAAACAGGCTACAAAACTGTGCTGTGACCTGGCCAATTCCATGAAGCATTTCCCTGGAGCAGCTCTGAATGATTCACTCCACTACCTGTAGGAGTTTACGCTGCATCTTCTCAGGTACCCACAAGCACAACCACACACAAACATACATCAAACAGGACAGAGGAGGTAAAATGTCTCACTTTTGTCCGTAGTAGTCCTCAAAGAACTTCTCTTTCCATTGCTCCACTCTCTTTTCCTTTTCCATCTCCTGCCGGATCCGAACCTGCATCTCATGGGTGAATTCACCTACACGGAAGCGAGAGACTGAAATTCAGTTTCAAACAAAACCAATTCTGCAAACGCAACCTTGTGTGTTCTGACACGAAAGCAGCTATGTACACAAAGGACAGATTTGCTGTTATCACCCTGCTCTCCACTCTACTACGGATCCACGTGCTGCCTGCAACTCTAAGGGCAATGATTACACAGCCTCAAGCCAGCCTGAAAGAAAACAATCATGTTTTACCAGACACAGGTAAGGAAAGGTAAGCCTGGCACTACTTCACACCTCGACCACTTTGCTCTGAAGGTCCCACAGCACTAAAGGAAAGCACATCTTTCATTTTAAAGAAAAAACAAACAAAAACCCAAGACAAGCTGGGGGCAAAATAGCCAGATGTACTGCGAAGCTGGACTAAGCTCTTCATTAACTGTAAAAGAAAACCCAAAAAGATCCCATAAAATGAGCACCTGTTCTCCAGCCACCCAGGAAAGCAAACCCGCTCACCATCAGCCAGACGCTCCCTCCAGCTCTGCGCAGCGTGGGTGAAGAACTCGTTGTTGAGAGCGCTGCCGCTGAGACGCATCAGCCCGTCGGCCCCCACCTGACGGGACAGAAAACGTTTGCTCCAGCCCTTCCGAAATCAGAAGGCAACGCAGAGAATGGAAATCACCCGCGTGCTGCTCCCTCCTACCTGTCTGTCCACCTCTGGCAGGAGGTACAGCAGCTGCTGCTGGAAGTGCGACGGGAGCGCGTTGAAGGTTCTGGAGTTTATCAGAGCTCGCAGGTTTGTATTGACCAGGATGGAACCGGGCGTTTCAAAGTCAATGTCCTCACCCCTGTTGCGTTTCATTTGTCCTGGAGTTTAAGGACAGGCAAATAAATATTGCTGTATACAAGCACGTCAGCATTATGGGCGAGAAATTCATGTCAAACTACTGCAGCGAAAGGAGCAAGATCTATGAGAAAAGACTGTTGTATTCAAGCGTGAAGACTCTCAGACATTAATTAACAGATATGCAGCTGGAATCGGGATACGAGGTCACATTTCTGTCATACTCAGGTACAATCATCGATGCTGCTCTTCAGAGCAGGCAAACTTTGACACAAAGGTCTCACTAATGTTCGAGCAAGATTGCCTGGCTTGTGAGCCTTAACATCACCATATGCCTTCTGAAGGCAGAGAACCGTGGTGTTTGCTCAGGTACAAACAGCCTGCTTTTACAGCCAATTATTCTTCTCCCTGTGATCAGAAGCACCTACCAGCCGAGGGCTTTCGGATACCTCTGAGGAGCTGCGGAGGATCCCTGTTTATTTCTGTTCTGCTGCGCAGGGTGGCTTTGCACAGGGCCAGGGAGGAGCTGCTGCTGCTGGACGTGCTGCTGCTCTCCCCGTCAGCGTGCCGTCCCGTGAAGCCTGAAAGCAAAACGAGTTCACAAAAATACACAAAGAACAGCAGAAGCCCAACTTGGAGAGTGGTTTAATGTACCTGCTATTAACAGACCCACTATTACAGGTTACTACTCAGTGACCAACTATTTTGACGGTTAAACATACACAAAACTCTCTCCAGTCACACACATCCTCATCATGGGTTAAAGAGAGGCAACCTTACAGATAAGCAGGGACCAGTGGTTAAAAGCTGTCCATGCAGTCATTAGAAAACCACCACAACACAAGCAGTGCTCACCAGAGGCAGACTCCATGTGAGCCCCGTTTACTTTCAGTGGTGTCAGGACAACACGGGGCAGCATTACACCAGTCTTCTTCTTTTGTTTGGTTGTCTGCAGTCCAGGAAGAAACCAACAACAAAACAAAGGAACAAGGATGTTAAGGAGGGGTCACATAATCCTCTAAGCAGCACGTCCCTCAGCTCAAGAAGTACCTAGCTCCTAGGTGAAACTTCAGGTGGCATTTCGTTTATGAATAGCAGGGAATTCACAGTTACCTTCCTGTACACAATCCCTCCCCACTCTGCAAACTCCTCACCTACAGAGACAGCCTCGTAACTCTCTCCAAGGCACCGGTGACAGCCGGTCCCTGTCACGCTCACCCAGCCATCGCACACCAAGGAAAGCTCCCCTCGAGAGGCTTCGTGCTTCCCACGACTCCCACTTTTCCCCACCTGAGAGGCAGTTCTGTAGCTCTCCCTGGTCGCAGCGGGGCCCTTGCTCTGGGATTCAGTGGAACAGGAGGCGTTCGAGGAGGTTTCATCAAGAGACACTGAAAGAGACGGGCACTCGGTCAGACACCGAAGCAGCTCCCATAGCTTCAGATTAACGGCGTCAGACACTTACCATCGTTATCACCACTCACAGTGCTTGCTTCATTGGACTCGCAGCTCTCTGCGTCTGCTGTGTCCTCCAGCTCCTCCCCTTCGGGCACCGACAGGTTCCGAGACCACTGCAAGGCGTCCTTCTAAAGGGGCAAACACAACAGGGATGGCTGCAGCCCTCCCTCCCAGCCACTGCCACTTACACCAGCAGGAACAGACCATTCAGTGCTGATCATTTTTAAGCCTTTTTAAGCTTAATTTTTTTCCCCCCCATCTTTTCTACTTTAATCCCTGAAGCAGAAAGGTATTTTAAAGTATATTTGGGCTCCCAGTGAAACAGAAGTCACCTGAACCTTGAGCACGCTTCACAGACACCTCTTAGACGAGTAACTCAAACACGTCCAAAATATCCAAGGTTAATGTTTCATTGCAATTTTCTGCAAGCAAGCAGTTTCCATTAAGGAGAAGGATCTCATTCTCAACACAAAAGAAGAGGTAGCATCAGAGTAGCCAGATACTAAGGTAGTAAGCTTAAGAGATGTATTTCCTATTTGCACAACCAAAGCCATTTCAATTCCATCTGTTTCCAGCAACATACGGCAACTCAACCAAATCTTCTGACAGCAGAAAAAGAGATGCAAATGCAACACCTGAGATACCTCTCGTCTATCAGGCTGATATTTATCAGGGAATCCAACAGCACAAAACACCACAAAAGAAAAGCCTAAGACCAGAAGCATTTTCAACGTTTACCATTACTGGGACAATAACCTACAAATAAAAACGTTCCAGAAAGACCTCAAAATGCGAGGAAACTGGTGACAATAAATACACACAGAATGCAGCAGAACACAGAACAACCGACCAGAGCAATGAATACACACTCTCCTATCAAGATCTCACTCGTAGCTACAAGCCCTCGGACCAATTTAATTTACTGGGTGGTGGTGTTCCTCGTGGCTGCCAGAAAAGGAGCGAACGGAGCCGTTCCGATAAGCAGCCACCTGAGTCGGACACCAAGCGCTGGAGTAAGAGGCGTTATCTTGCTTGTCCAATTCAAGAAATAATCAGCTTCTTTAAAAAGGAATTTATCATATGTGGCTGAACACAGCTGCGAGGCTGCAATGAATTCCAGATGTTTTCACATGGCGGTCTCACACGTTCAGCTCCTCCGATGCTCTCACACGGCGATGGTTCAGTGCTCGGCTACATCAGAAGCAGAATTTGCACCTCGGCGAGGGCAGCAGCTTGGCATTTGCTCAGCACTTACCTTGAGCGTGAAGAGGCTGATGCGGCCGGGCAGTTTGTAGAAGAGCCCGTCGCCTCCCCTGGAGTTGGAGTGCAGCATCGCGTTGAGGCAGGCGAGGGGAGACGTGCCGCTGCAACGCAGAAAGGCAGAGACAGCGCGTTAGGAAACGGCCTCGTCAAGAAAACAGCGTTAGGAAAAGGCCTCAGCAAGAAAACAGCCCCAAGGAGCTGTGCAAACGGGCGTCGTTTTGGCTGGCTGGGGGGCAACGAGGATGGTCATTAACTCCAAGGGACGGGCACGTCGTTGCTGTTTTAATTTCTGACCTGTACGTCAGCCCTAACACATCACAGCGGAGCAACGGGCACAAAACAGGAAACGTTACGCCAATTTTAAAGTAAGGCTCGGCCATTTGTAGATGTTTTTAAGTTTTATTACCCAGTTTCCTCCCTTTCCCGGCTTGAAATTTATTTATTTATTATATAT